TCATACGCGTCTGGCTTTATTACAGTCGGTTGCGTTGAAATGTGCTTGTTATATGTGCAACATGTGATTAGAGGTGTCAGCGTGATACAGCCTCGTGTCAGCTATAGGCAACAAGGGCGCAGATATGTGCAATCACGTGGCGAAGCGGATCCCTGGTATTTAGATCTTCGCATAATTCCGTGTGACAGATAAACACCTGATTTGTCAGACATATACAATATTGCGGCATGTGATCAAAGTAGTGACATTTACGAGTTCTTCCTGTCCATGTTATAGACAGCTGATAGATGAATTTGCATGCTCAACCATGTGGTTATGCAACCCAGATGAATTTGTACAACCATGTGATAGAATAAATATACAACCATGTGCTAGATATATAAGATATATACAGATATATACAACCACAAGATAAATATAAATAATATAAACCATGTGGTAGATATATACAACCACAAGGTAAATATGTACAACCATGTGGTAGATATATACAACCACAAGATAAATATGTACAACCATGTGGTAGATATATACAACCACAAGGTAAATATGTACAACCATGTGGTAGATATATACAACCACAAGGTAAATATGTACAATCATGTGGTAGATATATACAACCACAAGGTAAATATGTACAACCATGTGGTAGGTATATGTACAACCACAAGGATAAATACAAACCATGGTAGATATATACAACCACAAGGTACATAGATATGTCCAACCATGTGGTAGATATGTACAACCACAAGGTAAATATGTACAACCATGTGGTAGATATGTACAACCACAAGGTAAATATATACAATCATGTGGTAGATATATACAACCACAAGGTAAATATATACAACCACAAGGTAAATATGTACAATCATGTGGTAGATATATACAACCACAAGGTACATATGTACAGCCATGTGGTAGATATATACAAGCAGAAGGTAAATATGTACAAACCACAAAAATATATACAACCACAAGTACATAAATAACATACAACCGTGGTAAAGGTATATACAACCACAAGGTAAATATGTACAACCTTGTAGATCTATGTACGGTGGATGTGTACAGCCACAAGGGTGCCAACCATCCGGTAATTATGTACAACCACGTTGGCAAATCATGAAGAAATGGCAGATATACAAACCACAACGTAAAATGTACAATCATGTACAACCATGTGGCAGATACAACCATACAACTACGCGGTAAATATATACAACCACGTGACTCAAATTTATTACCATTTGATAAACATGCTCAGCCATGTGGCAGATATATAAAACCACGAAGTAAATATGTACAGCCATGTCACTCAAAGGTACTACTATCTGGTTGACATGTACAGCCGTGATGCAGATATGTACAAACACGTGGTAAACATGTACAACACATGGCAGATATGGACAACAAATAGAAGCTGTGTACAACCATGTGATTGACGGGTTCAACAATGTGATTGACATGTACAAGTCATGTGAGTGACATGTACAACATGTGGTAGATATATACAGCCAAGTTATAAATATGTACAATCATGTGAGTGACATGTACAACGGATGTTGTGGTAGATATATACAACGGTGCTTGAACAACCACAACCGGTAAATATGCATGAACCATTTGATAGTAAATATAAATACAAACCATGTATAAGATAACTATGTACAATCATGGCATTGACAAGTTATAAATAACTATGTACAACACGTGTACAATAAGATATATAACCAAGTTATAAATATACAATCATGGCATTGACGTGTACAACAAGTAGATATGTACAAAACACGGGATGCATATGTACAACAATACGATGTATGGATACAATTATCTAGTTTCCATGTACAAGCAAGTGATCACGATATGTAAAAGTGGTGGATGAAATACACACAGCGAGATTTGGATATACAACCATGTGGATGAAATACACACAGCCACAAGTAGATATATACCCGTTGACAACGTCGGATACAGGTGACCAATATATAACACGCTGCGTCGATGATGATTGAAGTACTGTCAACAGGGTTGGTAGGGTAGCCTTGTGGTTAAAGCGTTTGCTCGTCACCCTGAAGACCCGGGTTCGATTCCCACATGGGTACAAAGTGTGAAGCCCATTTCTGGTTCCTCGTGGTGGTATTGCTGGAATATTGCTAAAAGTGGCGTAAAAGTCAACCCACTCAGTCACGCCTGTCAACAAATGTCTGCGTTGACGACGATGCTGTGAGGTCTACGTGATGAATAGCCGTAGTCAACTCAGTCCAATAGAAAATAAAATCAATAGCAAGATGTACACTGCTGGAGGGATATGTTTGTGTCTGACAGGGTGTGTGTGAGCGAACATTGTTTGTTAAACCTCGGTCAGGTCTTTGAACTGAATCAATGAATACTTCAGAAGTGAGAAGTGGGTCAATTTTGCTTCGCATCTGCAATTTTGCAGCTATTCGTGTTGGAATACATTTACGTACATAATGGTGTTTGGCGTAGCAGCGGTGAGAAATTCCATTCAACTCAAAGAATAATTCAAGTTGCAATTAATATAATAAAATTGTTCAAACATGGTCCAGAAACCGGGGACGGTGGGGTAGTCTTCTCGTTGAAGCGTTCGCTAGTCGGGCCGAAGATCCGGGTTCGATTCCTCACATGGGTACAATGTGTGAAGCCCATTTCTGGTGTCCCCCGCCACTGAAAATGTTACTCAAAGCGGCGTAAATCTACAACTGACTCATTCACACAAGACACGATCCCCATATGATCAAGCGAGCATCTAAACATGATCCAAACATTAATCAAACTTGACTCAAGTACGATCCAAAAATGATTCAAAACATGACTCTTACAGGATCCAAACTTTAATGAAACATTATCAAAACGAGTTCTAACAAGGATCGATGAAAGAATCAAGCATTATTCAGACAAAATGCAAACATATTCCAGAACGTGAGCAGAAATATATTACAAAATAATACATTCATGATTCATTGGAAAATAATGACACTATAATTATTCTGGCGAAAAAGGTGCCTGCCATACTTATTTCACTGTGTAATTTACCTGGAGGCTTATGATGACGTGATCCCGGGATAGAGTTCTTGTGTGTAATTTGTGGATGAGGTACTTCACAAGTAGGACACGCCCCGGAGCCAAATCGAAGGGACAGCTGTGTCACTGAATCGTCGCTGATGGTAATGCGAAATACAAGACTGATCAAGGGAAGTACGTATTATATGTAATCACAAAGGCGTTTGTATTTTGCAGTTAAATACGAGGGGGTATCAAAAAGCTCTAATTAACGCCAGAATTTATTGAGTAATTATTATGAAAACTTGAAGGGAACATCAGTGATCCCTATCTAGTTAATGGACCAAAAGCTATTTACTTCATTTGATTCAATCTGGTGCTAGTTGATCCTAAGCACGAGTAGCCCCAAGTATGGAGAAGATTGAGGCGCGGAGTGTTGTCAAGTTATTGCACTTGAAGGGTTGCACTGCCCGACAGATTCACGAGGAGATGAAACCTGTTGATGGTGAAGATAGTCCATCTTATGATACTGTTGTGAGATGGAAAAGGAATTTTCAAATGTCCCTCACAGATGAGCCAAGATGTGGACGTCGGTTTGACGATACCACTGAGGTCATTAAAGAGGTGGAGGGTTTTCCATGAAATCAGAGTGAGTGAGTTTAGTTTTACGTCGCACTCAGCAATATTCCAGCTACATGGCGGCGGTCTGTAAATAATCGAGTCTGGACCAGACAATCCAGTGATCAACAGCATGAGCATCAGTCTGTGCAATTTGGAACGGATGACATGTGTCAACAAAGTCAGCGAGCCTGACCACCCGATCCGTTAGTCGCCTCTTACGACAAGCATAGTCGCCTTTTGTGGCAAACATGGGTTGCTGAAGATCTTCACGGGTCCCATGAAATAAGAGGTTCTGTTGAGGCGATCTGCATAAGGTAAAACATATTGGGAGAAATGTGAACTGTGGATGGTGACTATATAGAAAGTCTTAAGGACAAGAAATCAAAATAAAGTTTTTAATTCTGAATACGTCTTGGTAGTTAATTAGAATTTTTATATAAACCGTCTGTCTTCTGTCTTGATTAAACGGCCATGATGTTTTCGTGGACACTGGTCTCATGTACATTTTCAGAGTAGAGGTTTGGGCTCATCAAAAGTGGGAATGTTCACGACCTGCATTTTTACGGAACTTCATCGCACGTAAAGTTGCCATACCATGTTACAGATCACGCTGTCCAAATGGGTGTCAGACTCTATCATCTTAACAGAACAGTTAATACAAACTAACCTCGAAAGCCACAGACCACATGTTTCAGAATCCCTCACAGAGTATGACATGTTATGCCAATGTAGATCCCCGACCCATGATCAAGGGGTGGGAGCGTGTGAGCAAACAAATGAACGCAAGCAAACAATAAATGTAAAATTTAAAAAGTTGAAACGAAAACAAACCTCCTACTCATTTCATTAAAGATATTCGAAGTTAACAAGAACACCACACCCTCATTAATCATCTATGATCTACGCCGTGCCTTTCATACGCTTCACCAAAACCCGCGATGAGGAATATTTGATACAATATGTGCATTAGCAAGACATTTTAATTAAATAACAAATCCACATAAAGCTTACACGTGCAGATTTATTTTAATTATTTTGATAAGGATAATCGGATAGCCTTTCTATATATTTAAATAAAATGTTGACAATGATGAAAATCGGCCTTGTGTATCATTGAAAGATATAAACGATATTCCTACATAAATATTCCTGTTAATCGTGAGAACTTCGTGACTTTGTCACGGGCCTACTGAGATATCGCTAATATGCCGACTGTTTGGCAGGTTTACAACGATTCTGGGCTCTATGGCAACTATTCGCTTGACTTTTCTCAATATTACCCCTGTGTTGACATTATTAACAACTACTGTGTCAACGCGTTGAGTTGAATTGATCATTATTGTTAACAGCCGTGACAGAGAGCCCAGTGACGTCAGCCGGAGACACTAACACAACATTAGCAGCCGTTCAGCCAGGTACCGTTAGTGTTACACGTGGTGAAGGGTTTTAGCATGACTTGGTTGAGATTGATGTCTAATGACATTAAACCTGAGGTAGTTATATCCCAGTTCTAATGCGCATTTTCTTCTTTGGATATTGTGGTCGTATTTGGTGAAGGTAACATTGCAATACTGTGCATCAGTGCAGTCGGTATACTTGGAAATTGTACTGTTATAACACTTACTGACATAGTACTGTTATAATAATGACATAACGGGACAATCCTTGTATTGGTAAGGTTAACGCTGACATGACTGTGCAACCGTTATACAAGTTTACGATGACATAATACGGTATAGTCCTATTTAGTGATGATAACAAAAGACTGACATGAAGGTAGAGCTCTGTTTGGTGATGATAACAAAACTGTCATAACGGCAGATTTCTAGTTGGGGGCGGCAACCTAATAGTGAATTGACGGTACAGTTGTGTTTGGTGATGACAACAGAATACTTCCTTGGCGATAGAGCTTTATTTGGTGATGATAACATAATTCTACAATGACCGTACAGTTCCATTTGGTGATGATAACATAATACTGCATTGACGACAGAGTTAAACTTGGTGATGATAACATAATCCTGTATTGACGACAGAGTTAAACTTGGTGATGATAACATAATACTGCATTGACGACAGAATTAAACTTGGTGATGATAACATAATACTGCATTGACGGTACAGTTCTATTTGGTGATGTAACTACAGAGTTATACTTGGTGATGATAACATAATACTGTATTGACGACAGCGTTATACTTGGTGATGATAACATAATACTGCATTGACGACAGAGTTATACTTGGTGATGATAACATAATATTGGCATGACGATAGAATACATACGTTCTGCTTGATGATGATATTTCTTATAACTCCGACGCAACAACAAAGTTAATATTTATGGTTACGAAAACGTGAAAGTACTGACAGACCGTTACATTGTTATACACGACGATGGTAACCCTATAACACTGACATGGCAGGTTACCTCTTATATTTGGTGATGGCACAATACATTGACATTTAAGTACATCCGTTCTTCTTGGTGATTGGAACCTGTAAAGATCCGCTTAGAATTGATCTTCAGCAACCCATGCTTGTCGTAAGAGGCGACTAACGGGATCGGGTGGTCATGCTCGCTGACTTGGTTGACACATGTCATCGTATACCAATTGCGAACATCGATGTTCATGATGTTGGTCACTGGATTGTCTGGTCCAGACTCGATCATGTACAGACCGCCGTCATATAGCTGGAATACTGCGGAGTGCGGCGTTAGATAAGAATTAACGGTGGTTGGAACGTTACAACATAAAAGTACACTTATTGGTGAAGGATATAAAATACAAACACAGCAATATTGTGGTTCTACTTGATAGTCAGTACCATTGTTACATCGACCAATCAGTAAATGCATGATATCCTTAGGTAATATTGTATGACTGATATAACGGTACTTCGGCAACCCCATTCGCTAGATCAAGTTTCAGATCCATTGTAACAGCATCTTCATCTGTATAATTAATTTTAACAAAAAGTGTTCCTGTTTATTTATATTAAGGTATATATTTGTAAGTGGAGTTTCAATTATGCAGTCAATTACTTCCACATTCAAACTGTCATGGTACAACTCCGAGCAATTACTATTCCATTCTTTTGTTAGCATCATGACTATGCTCGCAGCTATGACTAACCTACAGCTTGAATGGCACTTATAGCTATCCTGGGACGCATTACAGCCCAGTTAGTATGTTAGGCGATATAAAAAATCCGTGCGCAATAACTCCACTATTACTTAACCGATCATCATGACACGTCCGCGAGTAATCATTGAGTTATATGTGTTTAAGTTATCAACGTTCTGATTTGTCATTAGTTTAATGTGTCAAGGTGGAGATGTTACAGAATGTTATTATTGGTCTATTACTATAAATCGGTTAGGAGGCTGGAGCTCATGGCACAGTGGTAGGGAAACAACCGTTTGATCTATCAAATGGAAAATCCTCGGGATAAAAACATACGCAGTTCAGTCTGTTGCAAAATCTGTACAAACATTATTCTCAATATATGTTCACAACTCCACAAACATATCCTCAGTTCTACAAACAAATCCATATCTCTCCAGAATTACATTCACAGTTCTCCATATATATATACTAAGCAGCAACAGAAACGTCAGTTTCGAATTTTCCTTCGCAGAAACGGGTAACTGAAAACTCATTTAATGTTTTGATTGTATATTTTTGACAACATCTCCAACTTTAACTGAGCAAAGACATTCCTTCCCAAACTCAGAATGGAACCCAGGAAATGGTCTCAAAAAGGCAACCTCATCTCGGAAGATGGTACAGTGTTCTCCATGTTTTTCATGCAACTCATGCTGCACGTGCTGTTCACAAGGACCAGCCCTATACAATGCACCCCCAAACCTGGTTGAAACATTCACATTACAACCTCAGCAGGATGCTGCGACTCACGACAGCTCAGAGGAACCAGGCGCTAGGAAGACTTGAAGCTGGCCACACTGCACAAGCCGTTGCCTATCACTTCCAGGTCAACGTTTGGACCATCTACAGGCTGCAGCAACGTTTCCGGGCCACCAACATCACAAAAGATCGCCCCCGTACTGGCAGACCAAGGGTCACCACAAGACGACAAGACCGCCATGTTGTGCGACAGCATGTACAGAATCCCTTCATGCAGGCATCCGAAACAGCACGCCAGACAGTGAGAACACATGGAAGACCAATCAGTGCTGATACAGTACGCCGACGTCTTCACAGCAGGAAGCTCCATTGCCATAGACCTTACCGTGGACCTATCCCCAGCCCTCGTCATCGGCGTGAACGTCTACAGTTTGCCCTACAACACCAAAACTGGCGATACAGGCAATGGAGAACAGTTCTGTTCACAGATGAGAGTCGGTACTGCGTATCAACTGCAGATGGCAGAACACGAATATGGCGACGACGTGGCCAGCGTTACTTAGACCGATGTGTTATGGAAAGAGACTCATGGGGAGGTGCAAGCATCATGGTATGGGGTGGAATAGGCCTGAACCAGAGAGTGGGCTCTGTGGTGTTCCAGAACCTTGGTCCAGGGAGAGGAGGCGGTATCACAGCGGTGCGCTACATCGACCAAGCTCTCAGACCCCACGTCATACCACATTTCGCACGTCACCGGAACAACAGTTTCCAGCATGATAACGCCCGGGGCCATACTGCCAGAGCTACACGGGACCTCCTACAGCAGAACGTAGTCAACATTTTGCAGTGGCCAGCCCTTAGTCCTGATTTAAACCCAACTGAACATTTTTGGGATGAAATTCAGAGGAGACTGAAAAATGTCATATCAAGGCCGAACACAGCCGATTTATTGCGCCAGGCCTTTCTCAGAGTGTGGTTCCAGGTGCCAATGGCCATCATCAATCGATTGTGCACTCCATGCATAGACGCTGTGCTGCAGTTATTGCCGCTCGTGGTGGTCACACTAGATACTGAAGTCAAGAGTCTGAATTGACTGCAAACGTTCACGTAATTGTGCTGAGTTATTCATTGATGTGTCAAGATATTGTACACAGGAAATGTTTTAGGATCCGCTTATTATGTCCATTTCTGTAATGATTTGATTACAGTGCCTATCTAATTTTGAATTCGTACTGACGGTTCTTTTTGCTGCTGAGTATATTAACAACTATCCGAACATATTCACAACTATCTAGATATATCCACAACTATCCAGATATATCCACAACTCTCCAGATGTATCCACAACTACCCAGATATATCCACAACTCTCCAGATATATCCACAACTCTCCAGATATATCCACAACTCTCCAGATATATCCACAACTCCAGATATATATCCACAACTCTCCAGATATATCCACAACTCCCCAGATGTATCCACAACTCTCCAGATATATCCACAATATCTCCAGATATATCCACAACTACTCCAGATATATCCACAACTATCCCAGACCCAGATATATCCACAACTCTCCAGATATATCCACAACTCTCCAGATATATCCACAACTCTCCAGATATATCCACAACTACCCAGATATATCCACAACTCTCCAGATATATCCACAACTCTCCAGATATATCCACAACTCTCCAGATATATCCACCCAGATATATCCACAATCCAGATATATCCACAACTCTCCAGATATATCCACAACTACCCAGATATATCCACAACTCTCCAGATATATCCACAACTCTCCAGATATATCCACAACTCTCCAGATATATCCACAACTCTCCAGATGTATCCACAACTCTCCAGATATATCCACAACTACCCAGATATCCACAATCCAGATATATCCACAACTCTCCAGATGTATCCACAACTCTCCAGATATATCCACAACTCTCCAGATATATCCACAACTCTCCAGATATATCCACAACTCTCCAGATATATCCACAACTCTCCAGATATATCCACAACTCTCCAGATATATCCACAACTCTCCAGATATATCCACAACTATCCACAACTCTCCTACCAGATATATCCACAACTCTCCAGATATATCACAACTCTCCAGATATATCCACACTCTCCACTATCCAAACTCTCCAAGATATATCCACAACTACCCAGATATATCCACAACTATCCGAACATATTCAGTGAAATATGGCATTATTCTTTCGAATTCTACAACTATTCATCACTATCCAAACATATATACAACTATCCAAACATATTCACAACTCTCCGAACATATTCAGTGAAATATGGCATTATTCTTTTGGAATCTGTTATTTCCAAGACTAGAATATTGTGAAAGATTTGGAAAGACGGTTATTTCTCCCTTTCCATGAAATAATCTGTGACAAAATTGAAAGTCTACTTCTGTACAGAGTCGTTCATGCATGCAACCCAATTGTTTCTCCTTATTACACAAGATGAGTCCAGTCAAGCTATGTAATTTTAGCAATGTATTTTCTCTATTCTGTTATGGTTTTGGGATATATTCGTCAGGAAACGCGGCTGTGGTATTTTTTCTTTGTTATGTAGTTGAGGTAAGTGAGTGAGTGAGTGAGTGAGCATTATTCCAGCAATATCACGGCGGGGGACACCAGAAATGGGCTTCATACATTGTACCCATGTGGGGAATCGAACCCGGTCTTCGTCGTGACGAGCGAACGCTTCAACCACTAAGCTACCCCACCGCCCCAGGTGATATAGTATTTTTATTCATGAAATTCATTCAAATTCAGCACCTCCCGTCGTGGACTTCCGAAGTATTGTATTTATTTGTTTTACACGGCGTCTAGGACTGACATCGATCTGTCCTCTCCTTGAACAATAGTTATGTCATGGCATGTCACCATAATGTGTGGAGAACGCCGGAGTGATGCTGATTCTAGCTGTGTACCACCTTGGTGGTTCTCACGTGTCGGATCCTGACAGACACAGCGTAATAACCAGTGTGTATTAGTACACTTGCTTCAAGGTTATGCAAGTGATTACATTATCGAGTTGATGTAACCAACTTGCCTGCATTTCTATCATGGTGAAAATAAGTATCGATCAAGTTTACATGAGGATATTTACAGTAGATATAGGGTCTACCTGGTGGCGGAAGTTTGGAGGTCCGATACCCAAATATTATATGACGTCATACGAAGATACTTGTTGTTTTCTTGCCTGCTGGGTTAAACAAGGACCGGTTGGCTCAAAATATACTTGCCTGAGTCGAGTACAAGGACACGCACGTACACACACACGCGTGCAAGCACACACAAAACAAACATGCTCGTTGTTGTGTAAGTTCAATTATATTATATATGACGTACATATCATTTCTGCTCACAAAGAGATCTGGTGACAAAATGATTGTGATGACGGGGGTGCTGCTGACCAAAGGGATTAATCGTATCTACATTTATTAGTGATGAAATAATGCTCAACTTTGTTGGCGAAATTTAAGTCACCGTAAATGTTTCAGCTGCATCCAACGTCACAGCCAACGCTACGAGTTTGGAGACAGGTACATACATAACCCTTCCATTTCCTCATTTTCCTTCATTTTAAGACCATCGCAACATTCATTTATGAAATAAACATGGTGACTAAAATTCTATTTTGACTATCAACTGTAGGACAAATGTAACCTATGCTGTGTTACATGACCGCTAAACATCCTATCCCAGTGTCCTAGCTGTGGTTTTGGAGCGTTTTGGTAACATTTGTAATGTTTTGTTCAAATTCAATTTGCAAACGTAGTACTTTTAGCCTGCAGTTCAAGTCGGTTCATCTGCAGATTACACTCAAGAACATATACGGATTCTTTCAGTACAATAAATTTACTTATACTGGCTTACTGACTGAGTTTGGTTTTAAGCCGCTTTTCGCAATATTCCAGCAACATCATGGCGGGGGACACCAGAAATGGGCTTCACACATTGTACCCATGTGGGGATTCGAACCCGGGTCTTCGGCGTGCCGAGCCAACGCTTTGACCACTAGGCTACCCCACCGCCCCAAATTTACTTATAACACATGATAGCATTAAAGAGGAGAATATACACTCATGCCAATAATGGTTGTCACCCCCTTCATTTTTTTTGGAGAGGGAGGGTGGGGTGGGGTGGGGGTGGGGGTAAGGAGGGTGACAACCAGTATTGGCATGAGTATAAATTGCATCAAGTGAATCCGTCTTAATTAGAAACTCTTTAATCCGGAAACCTCCCCTTCGGTTTGGTAACACCGGAAAGTGTACATGTTTACAAAATGTTTCTATCCGTACCCGGGATTCCTGATTCAAAAGTTTAGACTCACTGTTTTTCTTCATTTAATGAACTCATGACAATAATCTTTTCAACGTAACGAATTTGTTTTACAATACATCAGTTCATGTGTAAACAGTACCTTTAAACAGAATGAAATATTAAGCAAAATCTAGTTTACAACAGTTGCCTGAAGTAAGTGTCTACATTTACACTAGTGAGTCAAAACTTTTGATGGGTAGTATTTATTTATTTGGAGATTTCACTGGACGGGTGCCGTCCGGATTAAGGGGGTTTCACTGTAGTCAGACACCAGCTAAGACCTTCACGTTTATGTAAGATCATTACTGGAATCCTCTATCTTCCATGTCTAGTCTGCTTTAAAACCAGACAAGCTATTCAGACAAGGGGATTTGCCACAGCTCCATATATTGTCACTTCAGACGACGGGAAAAGCACCGTATTCGGAATACAATACACGTGAATTATGCTTTTGTCATTTGATCGGTGGAGGTTAAGTATTATGCATATAGTGTATATTAACAAGTGACCACGTGTATTCACAGCAAAGGCCGACAACTCGTCTACGAATGCAACAGACACGCCAAAAACGGAAGGTACATTTTTGGCTGACATTTTCTTTAATCGTGGTTTTTATGCATTTATGTTTTTTGTACAATACAGTTCGTTTAGTTTATTTCTTAGTTATCGACTATCAATAATGCCGATATCATTTCGTATCATTTAATTGAATTTCTTGTTGAAGTCAGCTCAGACTAAATGTTGGAGTGTATTTCTTGAGAATGACAACAGACTCCGTCTGGATACACGTTAGGACCCCAAACAATTTTTCGGGTTTCAGTTCAGCAGGTAGTGGTTCGCCAGTGGTTTTAGAAATTGCTTGTTGTCTAACGCCACACTCGCCAATGTCCTAGGTATATTTCGAAGGAAGTTCGATATCTGCATCAATCCAAACAAGCCAGTGAGTGATAACATGAACATCAATCCAGGTCGTCAGACCAAGTAATACACTGGCCATCCGATCCATTATGTTGGCTCTTACGGACAACATAGCCGAAATTAACAATTTCACGTTGTCACAACGTTGTAACAACGTTATGTCTTCATTGTTACAACGTTATTCTGTGGACTCCCATTTACGTTGTCACAACGTTGTGGCCTAACATTGTGACACGTCATTTTTACGTCGCCACAAGGTTAAAGTTTTATTATGCTAACGTATTTTACGTTCTATTTAACGTTGCAGCTAAATAGATTCCCAGTAGTGAACAGTACATAAGAAACAAAGCAGAAATTTGCATGCTTTTTTGGTCGCGTGTTTTCTGAAGCTTTAGCTGAATAGTGAAGAAAGAATCTTAAAGTGAAAAGTTTTACAGAAAACTCTATCGTGATAAGTCATAAGAAACGTTGTTATAACGTTGTGAGGAGCCCAAAGCTTAACGTTTCCTCAACGTAAATTTGCAACGTTGTTATTACAATGTGACATAACGTTATAAATGACGTAATACTAACGTTGTGCCAACGTTGTGTCATGACGTTACCAACCTACAACCTTTCCACGACGTTGTGAAAACGTGTGTCAGCTGGGAGGTTGCTGGGGATCTACGGAAACGCAGAAACTCTCCTTTTGTGTATTTCATAAATGCATGGAGCGATGGAGATACTGGCGTCACTTTTACAACAAATTTATGACGGCGAATGTGCTAATAATGTATATAGTGAATGCACATGACGTAAAAACGATACTAGTATATGTTAAATGATAATATGGATGTCTCTGTAAAATTGACGGAGATGCTGATAACCAGTGCAACATCGTTACTCTATCCACAGGTGTGAATAAGACAACAACAAATTATACCGAAAAAGCGCCTGCTGTAACCCCATCAGATGTATGGGTACCCGGTAGGATCATGTTTTTACTGCTCTTCGACCATCTAGTCTAGACCTTAATTGTTACTGGCTACTGGGATTTTCAATCCTTTCAATTTGAGGGATCTCAGACAGCGTTGCCATGTTTCTTTCTCCAGAGGTTAGATTTTAGTTTATCTTATAGACTATGTAATCATCGTGTTGTCGTGGTTTTACCTTTCCAATCGATGAAACGCGTGTAAAGTGTACAATAATTATGCTTCAACTGTAACTAAACATCTATCTTTTAAAAGAAAATACATTCACACGTATTATATGTTCTGTATTAAAAATACACTAAATCCTGTTTCTTATCCTGCTAAAGTGACTCGGAGACAGATGTTCAATATTCAGTTTAAAGCAAATAATCTGTGTCCATTAAAGTTATTTCAATTCCAGCTTTACACTATTGCATTACTGTACGTTTTCAAACATTTACATTTGCTTATCATTTCTAGTACTTATTTCGTCGGGGAAGGTATACGATTGATCTTTCGTGTGTTGAGAGCCTTACATCTTTGTCGTCCTTCTGCACCACAGTTTTAATTCTCACACACTCTGAAACTACTGACACTTACATCACCAAAAACCGCGATTAAAAATATATAAAATATCTTATATCGATGCTATCCCTATCTGGCAACTGCTCTGGTAAATTGTAAATGAGCTAGACTATGTCTCTTGAAATATGGTTCTGGTCATTCCGACTATGTCTCTTTCTGGTAATGGTTCGGGTACATATTGGCCATGCCTGTTTGTAGCCATGGTTCCAGGAATTCTGAAGATGTCTCTTTCTAACAGAGGTTCTGGTACATCTTGACCATGCCGCTTTGTAGCCATGGTTCCAGGAATTCTGAAGATGTCTCTTTCTTGCAGAGGTTCTGATACATCTTGACCATACCTCTTTGTAGCCATGGTTACATGAATTTTGAAGATATCTCTTCTGGCAAGGGTTCTGATGAATGACAGGATTTTTTCATGGTCATAATTCACCCATCAGACATTGTATAGATGCTCCAATGAGGGTTTATTTCTACTGTTTTTTTTAAAATATTTTTGCTCCTAGTGGTAATGGTGCTTCATAATCACTCACAACGGCAATTTCAATTTTAAACATTTATATTGCAGCACCCGAGATAACATGCACTCTCTCGAGCGAGCGGTGTTCCGTTAAAAGCCAGTGCTGTAGCAATAGATGCGTCAAGCTACATTCGGGAGCAGATTACCGTTGTCTCAAGAGTTCCGTCGACAAGCCATGTAAACATGACTACAACTGTGAGGGCAAGCTCCAATGTAGCCCCCATAGGAAAACTTGCTGTGTCGACTTATGGCAGTCATGCGTGATAGCTTCGCAATGTTGTAACACTGAGCACAGATGTCTGTCAATGCAAGGGTTTATTTATAAAAAATGTCTAAAATCTGATGCCATACGTGCTGCATCTGCCTGGGGATTGATGACTCTTCCATCCATACTGGCGATAACGCAGCTGATGTTGCTATTATGAAGTCACTACAACGATTACTAATAATACACTCCCTCCGATTTGACATTATATTTATATGTTTTGAAGAGATTAGACGTCCTTCAAAGAAAGTGCCTTATTGTTACTAATTTGTTTACGTTTTGATTGTACGTTTTTCCACCGGTAGAAATGGCCTTAAAAAGGTCGATAAAGATCCAATGGTTATGGGTTCACGTCTCTATACAAAATCCAAATACACTTAACTACAGAGGTATTTTGTTTTCAACAGCTTGTGACTCTCAAATCCAAATAACCAGATAAAACATTTCTTATTTCGTAGTACAGACTCACGTCATACCCCACGCTGTGTAAATACTCTGGATATATGCATGGTGGCATTGCCACATGATTATATGGAACATTAGACATGTCAGTTCTGTCCTTTACTGAAAAGGTTTAAAATCCAAATATAACATAGTTTGCATTTGACCGTTTTCTAAAAAGGCATTGCGTCTTCGATGCCAAATATGTAAATAGTCTGTTCATTAAGAAAGGTGTTGGAAAATATTTGCTTTTTATTGTCTGCAAAATGAATTTTCTATGCCCATTGTGTGGATAATTGTTAATGAATTCATGGGACATGAATTAATTCAATCCATCTCAGCCAGAGCCGCTCTCTCTTCATGATCGGTATATTTCAGACTAGAGACTCTGTAGCTGTCCCACCATGCTCTGCCTTATGTAATTAAACATTTAAATTTGCCTGTAATGTAGGTCGCTGAGAACGTTACCAACAACGGGATAATTAACGTTCAAAGCTTATTGCTTTCGAAGTGAAGAAAATGTCCTCTACACAACACACATGATGCCTATTTATATCATGATATTCTTGATTTTGCTTTAATTTACTTTGAATGATATCATGAACCAACGGTTTATGTGACAATATGCAACGGCACGTTGTCCGTTGAAACAGCAACGGAGTAACTGTTTGTGGATATCCCAGCTTCCGGGCAGTCATATTGGGTGAATCCCGGCAGCCATATTGGATGCGTTATTTTACAATTCAGGAAGTGTTCAATATGTGCAAATTAGTGACCCCATTTATACACCATTATATAATTATTGGGAAGAAAACACCGTATCATACAACGATGCTTATCACATGACGTAGAGAACAAGGGATTCGAGTGATCTTGAACTCACGTAACTTCATTGTTAGAATATTGTTTGGACTTATCTGATATTGACGCAATGTGTGGTATAAAGGACTGCAAGTCTATGGTTTTATGTATTCATGGCTGTTGGGGGAATATGGAGAACACAAACCTTCGAAGCTTTGACGGTGAACTGAGACAGTTGAGATCTATATGCCATATAGTGACTGATTAACAACAATCTGTGATACTTCGCGGTATATTCCAACACACATCTCATCTTTGAAATGAGTCCAACTGAGGTTGTTGCGTGTTCTACGGAATATTTGAACGATAACCTGCTTATGATTACACAATGAAATGACGTTACGAAACAGATAACTTGTTCAAATCTCTACCTGAGACTATAGCTATACAGGTGAGCTTCAGCGACAAGTCCACTACCCTGTTGCAAAATTGTGATGTTTGCTGGGAGTGCGAGGAGGTACTTTATTTTATCTTTACTTATTAATACCAACAAGAAGTAATGTAGATGCAAATAAAAACTTTTAAGAAATGTTTGAGTTTTGTGTTAATGTTGCTGACTTCTATAACGTGCTTGTAGTTTTGTGTGTCAGCGTGTCAGAACAAACCAGACTGAACTTTGGACGAGTGTAGCACGCCATGTATTCATTCATTACCCTTCTTTACAAGGAAAGGGCTTGCATTTCAAGCCGTGAACAACAGTTCATGGATACAATTCGGGTACAATACTGAAAAATATTTAAGATCAGTCAATGACAAGATACAAACTATGATAAGTTGTGAAATCTAAGTTGTGCTTTTGGGCACAATCGCATAATCGCATACAGTGTTTGCCCTTAACCCTTAAAAGTTGCAGGCCCTAAGGACCTAGAACCATCAAAAGTTGTGGGTCCTGATCAAAACGTGTAGGCCCAATATCCTAGTTACATGATGTGTTATTTGCAGCAAACAAAAATACGACAACTAACAAACTGAGATAAAGAGTTTAATTTTACTCGAGTGATTGCCTAGTCTTCATTTACAACAAATCAACATCCATGTCAAGATCGAAGTCTTCTGAAAAGTCTGTAATCTAAATTGCTTCCTCGAAAATGATAGTCCTTTCACTTACAGACAACAGTTGCTGATCGAGATAAAAAACTAGAAATTACTGAAAGACATTTTCGGAAAAGTAATACTCTTCCTGTCGGCCATAAGGACCTGCATAAAACAAAAGCTGTTCCGTGTGGTTTTCAGCCGGCTTCGGGCCTAAGGACGCTGATCGCATATGAATACACCTGCATTGATCACACCTGCACATCGTCACATTTGCAGTAAACACCTGCATTCGAAAACATGTTCATTTAGACAAACCTTAGCTGGGAGAGCCCCTGCAAATTTAGGGCACACCTTCAATCAGTCACACCTTCGTTGAAATACACCTGTCGTGATGGCTCACGTTCTGCGAACGCTGTTGGTTTCTGAGTGAGTGAGTGAGTGTTTAGTTTATCGTCGCTCTTAGCAATATTCCACGACAGGAGACACCAGAAATGGGCTTCACACTTTGTATCCATGTCGGGAATCGAACCCGGTGCTTTTGGATTTGCACAAGACTGCATCTACACTTGAGAGCCAATTCCCTTGAACGAGAGTTATAATATTTATTACTAACTCACGAACACCTGTATCCAGTGATTGCTTAATTAGATGTACTATTTCTCGCCACCGATGCAATTATTCAGCCAACAGTATTATTCAGTGGACAAAGCGTTCGCTCCAGAAGACCCGGGTTTGAAGCCCATTTATGTTGATACTGCTGTGTTGATACACATGAATATCAAGTGCTCTCGCGTTTGTGAAGTTTAGCATAATACGGACATTGCAACGTGCACTGATCTATGGCATCCATGTTTGGTAATCAAAAGACTATAAAGGAATTATCATATTGTAAAGTGCATAATTACTTTGCATATTTGTATGTTTTGGCCATGTTTCACATATCAGGGAATATAATGAAATTATCAAATTATAAACTATTCAAGGTCAGTATATGCACGCCATGTTTCCTACACCAGGCCAGGGAATATACTGGAATGATGAAATTATGAACTATTTAACGTTAAGATATGCATGCCATGTTTCATATACGAGAAAACATAATGAAATTGTCTAATTATATACTATTAAACGTTTATATATGCATGTCATGTTTCATATACTAGGAAACATAATGAAATGATCAATTTATGAACTATTTAACGTCAAGATATGCATGCCGTGTTTCATATACGAGGAAACATAATGAAATGGTCAAATCATAATTGATTCTACGTCAAGATATACATGGCGTGATTAATAATGGAAACATAATGATATGATCAAATTGTAAATTATTTAACGACAATGCATGCATGCCATGTTTCATAAACCAGGGAACATAATGAAATGATTAAAATATGACCCATTTAACGTCAGAGTATGCATGCATGTTTCCTAGACCAGAGATTGTAAGCATTCTACTAATCATTTCCATGTACGTTGTGCATGATTAACAAGGGAATGTAATGTAATAATCCTATTGTAATATTGTAAACGTACATACGTGATGATATCCACCAAATAGACTACTTAGAGTCTGGAACATGTAACACTTCAAAATGGGTGGATCTGTAGGGACGCTATAACGTGTTATATTGCAGGTCTTCATGTGTTAATGCTTCTATCTACTAGGACATGTGTTGTTAATTTGTTAATTAGCTCCTCTATGATATTGCAGTCGTAATCCCCATTACTGTACAAACATCTCCTCACATTTGTATGTATGCCTCTCTGTCCTCATGCTGTTCATCACTTGCCTCATAACGGTGTTCGAAACTACACCGAAACGTCGCTCTTAGTGTCAATAAAGAAGCTGTTCATCCGTGTATTGTTATCCACCCTTACTGCTCCAACTTCAATGACGTTACACTATAGCGTGAAAACGTGAGCTATGTAATATACTAATAATCTTGATAGAAACAAATGTGTGATCCTATGCATGAAATGTATATATTGTTCTAAGAAATATGCATAATACACACATGGACATTAATACCTTGGGCATAATGTTTCAGCAACTCTAACGTGAAAGTATATAATAATGTTGCATGCATGTGTGTAGTTGTAGGTCGTTGTATAACCCACTTAGTTCCTCTGTCGTTTATTACCATTAACTCCTCTACGTGAGGAACAATTATCGGCACTCACATCCATGTCCCTTGGTGGTCCTTCCACACCAAACTGAATCAATATGTCCGACAATTCATGGTGAATCACGCCTGGGCTGCATATAATAACATTATACAGGTGGAATGGAATGTGTAACTGATCAAGCCACTGAGCATTGCAGGGAAGCACGTCGTGTATTGGGATGTATACTCAGTTGCAAAAGTAATGAAGTAAATGAAAACTTACAGAAAATTACAAATACGTGAAACCTTATTAAAATGAAACTTTGAACATACAGCCATACGTGTTGATCATTAGATCAATAATCTAAGATGGTGAACTGGTATATGTGATCTCTGTTTACTCTACACTAATTGATTCCAACATAACCATTGGAGGAGTGAATAAAATAGTTTCAGAAATGTTTGTGTTGTTCGATAATGGATAATTTGTGGGATTGTTCCCAACGTGAACGTGATTTTTATGGTGTGTCAGCAATTCAGAACACACCAACTGAATTTCTGTTTTTCTCCCGTGTATACTGGACAAAAATAGTTAGGGATATATGTGCATTTTGAAATTATGAATCATGATATATTTATTCATCGACACACTGATAAAATATCAATCATAAAAATACCAATATCCTTAACTTATTTTGTCCAGTATATTTAACCATTCCCTTTTGTACACTGAAGGGTAGACACAGTTTAGATGTTGGGTAATACTTTAGGGTTATCCACAGGGTACAACTTCGAAGGATGCTTAGGATCGATCAATGACAAAATACATGAGGTTCTTGAGACGCATTTAGAAGTTGGTGTTCAAGTAAAACGCAAATATTATGGATGACAACTTCTTTATTGTATGTCACATATTATTATTATAATAAGTTGAGGAAACGTTTCTGGCTATTCCAATCATGGAATACATATTATTATAAGTTGAGGAAACGCGTGACCATTCCTTTTTCTCGCCACAAAAAAATGTTTAAATCCCAACAGTGTGATGATTTAGTAATACATACTGACTAATAATCTACCTGTGCACACACGAAACCACTTGTCAGGACAGACGAGTGTAACGTGAAGTCGTTTTCACGCTTGTTAGGATAAGAGGACGAGGTAGCACAGAAACACGTTTTTCCAACTGGAAAGTGCCAAAAATGCACGGAAAACTTGAAAGTACGAGTATGAAAATATCTGACATGTTCAGATGACCAAAAAAACATTGAGTTTCATTTGCATTTGCACGTTGATGATATCAGTTATTCTCAGTGTATAGATACATGTCGAAAATGAGCGTGAATAGATCTAGACTATTTGATAAATCAAATAAACAAATTAAATGTAAGAAAATGTGTCAGTATAATGACTACACCACCTGTGAATTTAAACATGGGTTATTGACTTGGACATGTCGATAACTGTTCTCACCATGCAAACATTGTATTTACGATGGAATCAACTACCCAGAAATTTCATCACACGTATAAATTGCAAGACCGAATTCAAACGTTTAATCAAATGGTACATTTCAATGTAACAAAATATGTTCTAAACACCATACACTGATAATCGTCTACCCCGGCTACACCAACTCTCCGAAGTCCCTGAGTCTATGTGTCTATGTATGTCTCAAGTGAATTACACAGCCCCCTGAAGAGGCAATGGTTAATGTATCCCTCACAAAAGCAAGAAATGTTTTGATAACTAATTCATCAACATAGATGTTATTCTCTAGTGATGCAAAAACTCAACAATAAAAAGTAAAGGGCATCCAAACACGGCAATCATGATCACTGACTGGCTGAGTTTGGCTTTACGCCGCTTTTAGCAATATTCCAGCAACATCACGGCGGGGGACACCAGAAATGGGCTTCACACATTGTACCTATGTGGGGATTCGAACCCAGGTCTTCGGCGTGACGAGCCAACGCTTTAACCACTAGGCTACCCCACCGCCCCCATTCATGATCAATTGACAGATACAGCCAGCGTTGATAAATACGTTATCTGCGAAAAAGGTTGTTGTGACTTAACGGTTTTCAGATGAATTCATACATGTCAATCTTGGCAGCCATTCCGTAAGAATACTCTTTGGTAATGACACTATGTATGGAAGTATACAGCCAGTATTAAATCACAAAAAGGGAAGAACACGTTGAAGATGTCATCACAGTTTACTTAGTGTCGTCTATGGAACTTTAAAAACGGTCCACGTCCGAAATATACCCATTAAGATATAAAGTCAAAGGTAAACTAACATTATTTTCATTCCAGATTCTCAATCACACACATAAGCTGAAATGCCAAGCATGACAAAATCAAGTGAAAAAAGCTCAGA